CTTGAATATATTAACACATATGTTACTGTATATATTTAAAGCTTGGTTAAAAGTACTGTATGTTTCTCCTGTGTCTGCAGGACTCAATGTATGATCGGACACAATGGCACTCTGTGTCGGAGCAGCAGATCTGTTTGCAGGAGGAAACACGCTTTCTGCTGGAGTTCCTTCACTCTGATTCTGTGTCTGCACACACTGCATCTATAGAGCACCTGCAGCAGGTGGCCAGAGTTCGATTGTGCCTGGATATGGCTGCTGACCTGCCCTTTAACAGAGTGACTAGTGCTGGTAAATGCTTTAGTGTTTGCTTTTACTAGCCAGGTGCTTGACCGTGATTTTTTAAAATTCATTAAATGTTTTTATCAATCAATCAATAAATGCATATTAGATGAGCAGAGCTAAAAGTGCCATTGGATGAATAAATAAGCAGTATTACAGAGTATCGCATATCAGCATGGATGTGATTTGCCCGTAGGCATGAAGCGACAGGCTGTTTAAATGCAATATAATAAGTGTGATTCCATTTATACAACAGATCGATGGGAAAGTAAGTAAATAAGAAACAACCATGAAGTGTCTTTAAAAAACCATTTTGTCTCAAATCTCTCTTCCATTCTTCAGCTCAATCTCATATTCACAATAAAACATTAGTTTGAATGTCCGTTGAGGAAAGCAATATCTTTGTCATACTATCCTTTCATTTGTTAAGGGTGATTTCCGTTTGTTGACTCCGATTACAAGCTGTTGTTGAGAGTAAAAATAACTTCCTTGTTTACATCAGCGTTTCAGTCTCTTTCAATATAAAAGCCTTTACTGCTGATTCTCGTGTCTCCATCTAATGGCATAACAATGTAAACAAAATCACCTTAACTTACACACCATTTCTCAATGCCAAATACTATTATTAAATACTACTATTATTTATATAAAATATTATTTGTTGAATAAAAATATTTAATAAAGTTGCTAAGCAATTCCGTCAAAAGTACAAATGAATGACAATTAAATGCATTTCCCACCATCAGTTGAAATATGACCTGGGCAAGTTCATAAATTCAACAAAGAACAACAAATGCTTATCACTTGCCATGAAAGGCTAGAGCACTTTGTATTAACTGAAACTGAGAAAGTAGTGTATCATATTTGAACGTTTTCCCTTGATATTGATAATGTTTCTCGTGGTTTAGATGCACAGGATGATCCTCCATCCATTACCTCAGTGTTTTTGAACAGTGTGAATGATCTATGCTGCCAGAGCAGTAATGACTGGTACAGGGTTTACCTCATCAGAAAGATCTGTAGCCTTCATGGGGTTGATTATGTCCAAAAACTTCTGTCACAGAAAGAGTTCAAGTGGCTGTTTCCTCAGGAGGTTCTTAATATGGTGGGTTTTGGTTGATTTACTTCACAATGCTGATATGAGTCACAAGTATTTGTGCTTTAACTGCTAAATTTGTTTCTCTTAGAATCAAGATGACAACAAAATTGACCACTATGTAGCATGTGGACTGGACTACAAAACTATTAGAGATGCAGTAGCCAAAGCCATGAGGGATTGCGACATGAATGAAATACAGAAAGCGATTGAGGTATTGATATACTTATTTACACACACACACATGCACACACTATGTATGTCCCAAACATAGAGAGTGTAACGAGGCGACAGGGACAAGACACTTGCGGATCCATTTGCAAAGCTTAGTCACCTTCCTGTACAGAAATGGAAACCCCAACTCGGACCCTAAACCTGAGGTAAAAACACAAACATATGCTACACAACAAAACATTTGTGCTTTACGAATCTGAAGTACTGTGACATGGTTTTGGAAGAACAGTATGACTTAATGTTTACATCAGGCTTCCTAGTAAAATGGTCATGATTAAAGGGCTCATGTCAAATAGGGATGTCCTTGATATTTTCAAATAAAAGACATTCATTTACAAAGAAAACATACTGTAATTAATGGAACTCAAAACTTCCTCTTTATTCCAACAAGCATTTAATACACAGATGACGCTGGGTTCACAGATTGCATGTTGGGTGATCAGAATTACAGTGACATAATAAGGAGAAAGCAAGATGTATACTATTATTTCTAAATGACAGAATAATGGGTGCTGGAGTAAAATGTGGTATGTCAGACCAAGTGCTGTTCATGGCTGTGTGTGTAGCACCTGTCGCTCTGCTAATTTTTTGAAGATTTAAAAAAAAATTAATGTGTGGAGTTTATTTTTTAAAACGATCTGTGATCATTTCAGACTCATTGCTTCATCAAAAGCTTTATTAAGGTTTGATCCCTTACATTTCATGGCGGAACATCAATAATACTGTATATACTTAAAAAAAAAATTATTTTAGTTAACACAGCACACAAATATTTAAATAGACTTATTAAATATTTAATAACAGATAATTATTAATGTAAAAAAAAACAATATTACCTTTATGAGCAATCATCTCAATGGCAAAATGTGTCCCAAATTACCTGAATTTACCCTATTTACACTTTTGTACAGTTCATTTATTAATCATTTGTTCATGTTTTTGCACTACTCAACCTAAAGTTGAGAATATTCATCATTTGTAAATGTTTATAAATGTTTATTATTGATTCAGGACCTTTATAGGCCTTGGACTTAATGGTTGTAAAAAGTCTGTGTAAAGGATGGTTAATTTAGTTAAATGCTTGCTAAAGACACAACACATAGTTATTTGCAAAACATGTTTTTTATTGCCTTAACACTTAGTGAGCTATATCCTTAAACAGTGTATTCTTTGAATCATAGAACAGGAGAAAACAAATAATTTTTTTCAAGAAAATACTTCATTTATGTATATAAAGAGTTTGAACAGTGTTCTCGTATTGTAGTCAAATTGTCTTTTTTGTACTTTTGGCCCCCTAACCAACTCATAAAGTTACCCATCTCACCAAACCTGGCCCTAAACCTTCCTGTATCACGCTCAATATTAACGAACCCTTAAACCTACCTATACCACCTGATCATTTCCACCTTCAACTGAGGTGCCCTAGAGCAAGCCACCAATCCCCTAAATGCTATTTGAATATATATTAACATAATAACACACATTGTACAATGTTTGTTAATGATCAATACTGAAAGTTGTGTTAATATGTCACCTTTTTGATAAATGTATATCCCTATGTCTGATATTCATGCATTTTTTGTTTTTTTATAGCAACGTGCTGGCCTTGAAGATTTTATCAGAAGCACAGACATCTTTGTCAATGACGAAACAAAAGCATTTGCTAAAGGACTGGTGAATAATCATCTACATGCTCTGCGTGTACAACCTCAGATGTCAGGCAGAGAGCTTCTTCTGGTGGAGGTTACAGTTCACATGGCTGCAGTTCTGTTGTGTGGAAATCTGCCTTTACTGGAGCCACTGCAGCAGCTGGCACTGTCCCCAAACAACATGACGGTACGAACCCTTCACGTTATGACGTCATGGAGTCACATGATGACTAGAGTGTTTATGTGATATTTCTGTCATGTTCTCCTTGCAGGCTTCATTCATTCCAACTATGCCGGACGACATGTTGGCTGTTGCCCAGCAGGCCATAAAAGGCCCGCATGGCTTGAAAGTCCAGTGGTATTGTGAGTGGATTCTGTGTCATGCAAAATTCAAGATTTGTCAAAATGATATACACCTGGAGACCCAGTAGTTAATGCCTGATCAGAAAGGCCACAATAAATCATGTAACACAAGAAGCAGAACTTCATGATCGGAATTGTGGTAATATAGGATAATATATTCAAAATGGTTTCCCAGGGTATTACAAAAAGTAAATAAATAATTTTACTGTTATTTTGGGTGTCTTTTCAGTTGGGAAAATTAAGGCAAAAAGGAAAGTCATTTCAGAGGTGGAGCAAGATATTTCATTTTTTTTAATGAATATAAGACAAAGTGCATATATTAATAAAGTAACACTTTATTTTAAGGGTCCAGAATTATGCATTAGTTAAGCATGAACACACTAGTAATTAATGAATAACTTAACATATAATAAGTTATTCATTCGATAAATAAGCAAAATTAAGCTAGCAATTAATGATTAACTGAATGTACAGTAAACAACTTTTAGCCATTATTTACGACTTAGCAAACCATATATTATTTTTGTGTAATAATGCACTTGCGTATATTTCAGTTATTTACCATCTATTAAGTTAACTGAACAATATGAAGCTAGTAATTGTTTAAGTAGTGCTGGTTTTACATTTACATTTAGTCATTTAGCAGATGCTTATAACCAAAGCGACTTGCAAAGGAGGACAATAGAAGCAATCAAAATCAACAAAAGAGCAATGATATGCAAGTGCTATAACAAGTCTTGGTTAGCCTAACAGGTGTATTAGGTGGCCTTAGCTACTATTTACTTACATTTAAATTAATAATTTGATACAATGCACTTATTGTGT